TCGAGACAGTGTGTGACTGTGATAAAAAAGGCCAATGTTATGCTGGGGATTATTAGGAAGGGTATTGAAAACAGATCAGCCAATATCATAATGCCCCTATATAAATCAATGGTGAGACCTCATTTGGAATACTGTGTGCAGTTCTGGTCACCACACCTTAAAAAGGATATTAGATCTTTGGAAAAGGTGCAGAAAAGGGCAACTTGAATGATAAAAGGGTTGGAACACTTTCCCTATGAGGAAAGGTTAAAGCGCTTAGGGCTCTTTAGCTTGGAGAAACGACGACTGAGGGGTGACATGATCGAGGTTTATAAGATTATGCATGGGATAGAGCAGGTAGAGAAGAGGTACTTTTCTCCCTTTCTCACAATACAAGAACTCGTGGGCACTCCATGAAATTGCTGAGTGGTCGGGTTAGAACGGATAAAAGGAAGTACTTCTTCACCCAAAGAGTGATTCACACATGGAATTCACTGCCACAGGAAGTGGTGGCGGCTACAAGCATGGACGGCTTCAAAAGGGAATTAGATAAGCATATGGAGCAGAGGTCCATCAGTGGCTATTAGCCACAAGGTATAGATAGGAACTCTGGGGCAAGTGATGCTCTGTCTTCTTGGTGCTTGGGGGGGTCAACAGTGGGAGGGCTTCTAATGTCCTGGCCCCACTGGTGGACCTCCTGATGGCACTGGTATTTCTGGCCACTGTGTGATACAGAGTGTTGGACTGGATGGGCCTTTGGCCTGATCCAACATTGGCATCTCTTATGTTCTTATGTTGCTATGTCTGTGGAAGCCCTGAGCAGGTGCCTGGACATGGCAATCAGATGGACAAGAGCCAATAAACTGAAGTTCAATCCAAGCGAGTCTGACCTGCTGCTGATCAAAGCTCTTAGAGGACTGAGGAGGAGTCTTGTCCTGAAAGTGGCTGCTCTTCCCCAGCAAGTTCACAGCTGGTGGGGGGGCACTGCTGGATCCCAGCCTACAATTGGAGGTTCGGGATTCTTCCATTAGCTTTGACTGATATGCCAGCTACGTCCATTCCTCAAAAAGTGCAATCTGGGCACAGCAATCCATGCTGGGAACACATCTGCAATGCATTCTACACTGGGCTGCCCTTGAAAACCATCTGGAAACTTCATGCAGTCCAAAATGTAGCAACTCAGCTATTGCTGGGGGCTGGATACAGGGATCATATCATCCCTGTGCTGAAAGACTGGCACTGGCAGCCCATCTGTTTCCAGGGCACAACTCAAAGGACTTACCTTTAAGGCCCTAAACACCTTGGGGCCAAGATACTTGAAGGACCGCCTCCTCCCGTACTCTCCAGCCCGCCAGTTATGATCCTCTTCCCAAGCCCTGCTCTCTGTGCCTCCGCCTGCAGAAGTGAGGTGGGTGGCAAACAGAGACAGGGCTTTTTCAGTGGTGGCACCTTGTCCTTGGAATGCCCTCCCCCTTCAGGCTCGCCTGGCGCCTAGTTGTCCTTTTAGGCACAGGCCAAAACATTTTTTTTTAAAACCAGGCTTTTAACTGAAGGGTTCTGGTTTTTCCCCAGCTGTTTTTGCGCTCTGCTTTTAGCCTGAAGACGTATAAACAACATTTTAGGCCACTTAATTTTTAAAAATCATTTACTGATCATTCTTTCCGTATTATTTTCTACCTTGTGAACTGCCTTGAGTAAGTCTCAGGAGAGGCAGCATATCCCTTTTCTAAATAGGTAACTTTATATACAGGTTTTTCTAAGCTTGGTGACGTGCCTCTGGCTATGCCGTTACAACCAGACAGCAAGGCAAAATGATCTCTCAGCAGCCAGCGTTCTATTTGGCTGCATGTTTTTCTTTTTTCTTCAAAATTGACCTAACATTTCCCCACACTTTCTAATGCTACGCCTATCCGTGAAGTTGACAAATTAACGCCGTATATGCCAGAGAGGTGACTGCCAAGAACCGTTGCAAAGTTCCCCGCCCCCCCAATCAATCACTCATGCGACACTTACTCCATGCCCTGCGCTGTTTGCCGTGCAATGTCGATCAGCTTGATCATCTCAAATTTGGTCTCGATGATGTGCAGGTGGTGGTAAAGGCTGGAACCCTCGCACCACTGCGTAACTATAGCCAACTGCGGCTTAGTGGAATAACCCATGAAAAGTAATATATTCACATGCCGTGTTTTCCTGTAGAAATAATGGAAGGATTAAGATCACTGAAAGGATCTGATGAACAGAAGCAACCCGAGAGGTAACACATTCGACTACTGCTGGTGTGCACGTGAAACATGCCATGAGGGGTTGCCAGGGCCTGCCTGAGAGTGTTCACAAGGGACACAAGATAAGCCACCGCTGGTAGAGGAAGTTAAGTGATGAGTAACAAGGATGGGCTAGGAGAGGACTGGGGCAGTGAAGGCACAGGCAATGTGAGCCTTATGCCAGTAACGAGGATGGGCTAGGAGAGGACTGGGGCAGTGAAGGCACAGGCAATGTGAGCCTTATGCCAGTAACGAGGATGGGCTAGGAGAGGACTGGGGCAGTGAAGGCACAGGCAATGTGAGCCTTATGCCAGTAACGAGGATGGGCTAGGAGAGGACTGGGGCAGTGAAGGCACAGGCAATGTGAGCCTTATGCCAGTAACGAGGATGGGCTAGGAGAGGACTGGGGCAGTGAAGGCACAGGCAATGTGAGCCTTATGCCAGTAACGAGGATGGGCTAGGAGAGGACTGGGGCAGTGAAGGCACAGGCAATGTGAGCCTTATGCCAGTAACGAGGATGGGCCACAAGGGAACCAGAGGCCGTGAAAGCAGAGGCAGTTGTCAGCAGGGTGCCGGTAGCAAGGATGGAGTATGAGGGAATCAGAGGCAGTGAACGCATAAATACATGGTGCTAAAAGACTTTATGTTCTTTCTTTAAAGGGTGTGTGGGGGGGGATGACTGTATAGTGTTTTCCAGCATTCACTCACTGCATGGGAAGACATAGGAACTGTAGCAGAGCCCCAATCACAACAGAAAAATACAAACCACTTTTCAGCAGAGTAACTGGGAAAGACGGCATTCTGAAAAAAACACTTGAGATCAATAGCTTCTGCAATTAAGTTATAGCTGTATGTCAACAAAACACAATTCATATGATCTTACCTGAGCACTCCTACTTCATTTTTAAAGGCCTGTAATTGCTGAGGGGTGGGGGCTGTAACATTCAACATTTTCACTGCCACATCACCTTAAAAAAAGAATCAGAAAAAAAACCCCAGCTCTTTACATCTTGCTCAACTGATCAAAGACAACATAATCCCCCCCCCCGTTTTCATCCTGTCCTTCCTAAAAGGAGCTCAAGACAGCATACACAGTTCTCCTGTCCTTCATTTTATCCTCACAACAACCCTGTGAGGCAGGTTAGACTGAGTGTGATTGGTCCAAGGTCACCCAATCAGCTTCATGGCAGCATAGGGATCAGAACCCTGATCTTTTCAGCCCAGTGCTCTAACCACTGTGCCACACTGGCTCCCAAGTTCACCCATTAAGTCATACAATACTGTTAGTATATGGTGCAATGTGGAAGTTAGGCTAAATCACTGGCATACAGTACAATGCGCAAGTGTTCTATAAAATCTCAATATACGACATACACTGGTAAAGGTCCAAAGCACTACTGCAAGTGCAGCCTAAGGGCTTCAGCAGGCCTACCAAGATCTAGGTTCTTCTTCTCTGAATGACTCTCTCATGCTATACTAAATGGCTTTTCAATGTCTCTTCAATTTCAGAAGGAATTTGCCACATGGGCACGGGTGGGAAACGAAAGTTCAAGGACATACAGCTGGAGCCTTACTGGATGTGCAAAAGAAGAAAAGCAACTTCTTTGGATCCCCACCATTATGTTTTGCCAAAGTTCCAGGGATGCACTTCCGGGGGGGGGGAGATTATGGTTTTCATCCTGGCCTGATCCCAGTGGCTCCTATGAGAGAGGAAGATGCACATGGGGAAAGGGAGATGGAGATGACTGTGCCACTGTGCACCCACTGTGGGGCCCTAACAAGGGAGGAGGAGGCTGCCTGCCTTTGCCTTCCAGTGCTCATTTTCCCCCTCGTACTTCTGAGCTGAGCAGTGTATCACTTCCTTTTCCCCAGGCACATCTGCCTCACTCGTTCTCAGAAGCAAAGGAGCCTTGCTTTTTCTGGACAGAGTTAGTGGATAAGAAAAGAGAGAAGGGTTTTCTCTCTGTGTCTCCAGTGCAGCCGTCCAGCTCTGAGTAACTGAGACAACGACACAGCTGTAAGATCAAAACCAGGGCTCCCGGTCGAGGCCGGCTTTCTTAAAAAAATATATATATATTTACTGGAACATCCCAGTTGCAAACAGCATCCTTTTTGCATTTCTTACTTTTCATACACTAGGACAGGACCAGGCAATAGTATTTACATAGAAATAGCTGGATATAAACAAACAAAACAAGAATACATAGGGGTTAACTAGATGCACACATGTGAGGTAGAAATGCGAATTACTGGGCAAAGTGGCCTCTTTCCTCTTTTCAGTTGCCACTCAGCAGTGACTATTTATATGGCAGCACACTGGCCATGCCCCTCTACCCCATTCTGGGCCAACAGCATCTGGTGCCTACAAGCTGCTGCAGGATGGTTGCTTTCTCCTTTCTCTGGCAGATCCCTTCCAGTCCAAAATAAAAGAGACTTCTCCATTTCTCTGAGTTATCAGGCTATAGCTGACATTTTGCTTCTTTTTCTGCAACTATTTTTGTACAGCTAACAATCGCCATTGCATTCAATACTGATCACTCTCAGCAATGGGCAGTGTTCTTATAATCAATTCACACAACCACGCAAGATGCAGGGATTTCTTCCTTTTAATACCACTTGCTAATTGTATGTGAGGAATAAAGCTGGATGACAGCCTGACCATGGATCTACATTATGGCATCAAATTTTTCAAAAGGAAAACCCGGTAAGTCAAACAGAAACAGATTTGGATATTGAGAGAATTTTAACAAAATGGAAACCGTGAATTGCTCAGTAATGTATTATCAAAGAAGGAGGAAGAAGAAGAGATTGGATTTATACCCCGCCCTTCACTCAGAGTCTCAGAGGCTTACAAACTCCTTTCCCTTCCCCTCCCCACAACAGACACCCTGTGTCAGCTATGCTGCCGTATAGTTTATGGGCCCGGGTTCGCTTTCATGACCCGTGTGCCAGTCTGGGAAACAAAGGCTGGGAAACGAAACTAGTCTCACGGTTACTTAATGGGAAGACACTACACAGGCTGGCTACAAGGTCAGTGATAATGAGGGGGAGAAGCGAAAAGAAAGGAATGCGGCAGCAACTGGCACACAGCCCCTGGCGGCCAACAAAACCTGTACCCCCTCCTATCATGGTGGAGGGCGAAGAACATTTTGAGATCTCAAAGATCCTGGACTCTAAAGTGAAACGTGGCAGGCTGTTTTATTTGGTGGAATGGTTGGACTTTGGACCCCAGCACCGTGAATGGGTGGAAGTAGGGGATATTCGGGCCCCTAGGCTCTTGCAAGAATTTTACCGGGAGTTTCCGAGGAAACTGGGAGATATCCCAGGCTAACCTGGAGATCTCCCGGGCAGGCCAGGAGATTGTTCTTTGGATGGGCAAAATGTCAGCTATGCTGCCATATAGTTTATGGGCCTGGGTTCGCTTTCATGACCTGTGTGCCAGTTGCTGCTGTATTCCTTCCTTTTCGCTTCTCCCCCTCGTTATCACTGACCTTTTAGCCAGCCTGTGTAGTGTCTAGAGATGTGAAGGCCCGGAAAAAAACCGGAAAAATTCGGGGAAAAAACGTTTTTTTCCCTGAAGCTTTTTTGTTTTTTTTCCGAAAAATTGAAAAAAGAAAAGAACAAGTAGAACGCGAAATAATGAGTCCACTGAACATCTGGTATCCTAAACCACCTCTGCTTCTCACTTGCCTTGAAAGCCCCTTTGCTGGGGTCACCATAAATCGATTGCAACTTGACAGCACATTTAACAAGTTGAGTAGGAATGTTAGCTATATCAAATCTAGAGATGTGAAGGCCCAGAAAAAAACCGGAAAAATTCGGGGAAAAACCGTTTTTTCCCCATTTTTTTCCCTGAAGCTTTTTTGTTTTTTTCTGAAAAATTGGAAAAATTGAAAAAAGAAAAGAAAAGAAATTGATTATGGAATGTTTTATTTTAACATGATAAATAAAATATTTTAAGACAAGGTGTTCAAATATTTTCCAAATCATTTCTAAAATATATAATGGTATCAGATTGATCTAATTTCTGTGCACTGAGGACAAGCAAGTCCTAGGTTACAAACTGAACTCTCCAATGCAAGAACAAGATGCATTTCTTCCTTTAGGAGGTGCGATTGTCAGAAGAAAATAAAAAGGTTTCAGTTTTGTTTTTGCATGTGGGTGGGTATTCTGTTTGTAATAATTGTTTGGGTACACTATATTTTTAATATGCTAGTTGTGATAATTTCATGCCAAGTAAAAATGTCCATAGTCATTTTTTATGTTCCTAAAGTAACAGAATGACTTTCAATCTAGAAAAGACAAAAGAAATGCTAATGTAGCATTTTTTTCAATTTTTCCGAAAATGTCCGTTTTTTTCCGGAAAAAAAAAACGGGTTTTTTTCCGAGCTTCAAAATTTCCGGAAATTTTACATCTCTAGTAGTGTCTTCCCATCAATTAACCATGAGACTAGTTTCGTTCCCCAGCCTCGGCTCTAACTGCCTTGGTCCCCTTTCCCGCCCTCAGGAGTCAGGCCGATTGGCCCATAGATGGGCGTGTGTGTGCTTTTGAACACCCTATATTTCTCTCAGCTTCCTATGATGTAGTCTTTCCTAACAGTGCCTAAAACCTTTGAAGAAGCGTGTGCTCTGTTGTTTGACTGTGGGTCCTGACACCCTGTGAGGTAGGCGGGGCTGAGAGAGCTCTGACAGAAACTGCTCTTTTTCAAGGACAGCTCTGACAGAACTATGGCTTGCCCAAGGTCATCCAGCCAGGTGCAAGTGGAGGAGTGGGGTAGTACAGTCTGCAGAAATGCATCAACGATCTGAGCATTTTATATGCCTACAACACAGAAGCTAAGCAGGGGTGGCCCTGGTTTGTATTTGGCTGGGAGATCACCAATGGTGTCCAGGGTCATAACGCAGAGGCGGGCAATGGCAGACCACCCCTGAACATCTCTGGCCTCAGAAACCCTGCGGGGTAGACTTCAGTTGGCTGTGACTTGATGGCACTTTCCACCAACACCCACCACAATACACAGAGGAATTGTTACCTAATACTGTAGATCAGGGGTCATTTCGTAGAAAAAGAGCTAGGGGAACTCATTAGCATAACTCATTAGCATATGCCACACCCCCTGACATCAGGGGCCCGGCGGTGGACCTGCAAGGCCAGCGGGAGTGCGAGGAAGCCCCGCCAAGGCCCTCCCTGGCCCCAGGCAGGCAGGGGTGGGGAGGAAGCAACTTACCCTCCCGCTTCTCCTGCCTCCTCCTGGCTGAATGAGGGCTGGAAGCGGGGCAGCCAGAAGCAGGGGCGGGGCTTCATCATGTGCCCCGCCCCCCTGCACCTCACCCGGGGGAACTGCGTTCCCCCGCGTTCCCCCCCGAAATGACCTCTGCTGTAGATCGTTTTAATTAAAAAACCTTCATGCTTCTTTGAAAACGTTGTAAAAGCAAGTGAAACCTTGCCTTATTTCATTGACTCCAAAAGGGGGGGGAAAATCATGTGAGTTTTATAATGATCCTGCAGATTTTCAGTTTTGTACATCTCTGTAACTCCATATAATAATAATCAAACTCTTGTTGTTCCTGGGGTGGGGTGGTTAACAAAACAGTTTAAAGTTCTTATTGATACGATCATAGAGTCTGGTAACTCTAAGAATTATCTGATTGTTAATGTTGTGACAGGACTGGGTTTTTCAGCTGGCCAGTAGAAAATAAGGCTGGCTACCTAGCCCAAGCACTATTTGTGGACCCCTGCATTTTACTCTGAAAGATGCTCTAACACAAACCTTGGCATAGTTGCACAGAACTAAGCCTCTAAGCCACAGACTAATATCAGACATCTGCTTAATTTGCTATGGTTTCAATATGCTGTCTATAGCAAAAAAAACCCAGGGGAAAAACATAATTCTTAAAATATTGCTTCTCACACTTTGGAGAAGATATATTTGGGTGCATAGCTACATACCATGCCACTTTCCTTTATAGACTGTTCCAAAAGACCCGGAGCCTATCCTTTGTCCAACTGTGATCTGGCCATCTGGTATCTCCCAGTCATCACTCGAGTCTCGTCGACCAAGGGTTTTCTGCAAAGGAACACAGGATTAGTGAGGCATCTATGAGTGCAGCCTCTTCTCAACAAAGACTGCAGCCACATCCAGATGTCACAACAAGCTGCAACTAAGCTCCAAACAGGCATGGACACAGCTGGCTGTGGTGCCCACACGACCCTCAATCATTGCTTCTCAACTGGGATTAAACTGAATCCTAGCTTGTGTGATTCACCGAGGAACTTAAACATTCAGACATCATGGTGCACTAGAGTTTGAAATTAGGAAATTTTACATCAAGGATGTAGAAGGAGGAGGGTGTATGAGCACGGCAACAAGCTGTGTTTTAGACTGAATCAGAGTTCATTTGGCACTTATTGTGATGTTTGATGCGGCCGGTGTGTGTTCTTCTCCTCATGCAGTGAGCCTTATATTTGCAAAGGGATGTGCTAACCATGGTTAGCTCCAAGCTGCTGTCTGCAAACACAACCACCTCCAAAACGAAAGGGTGTGTGTGTGGATTCACAATGCAAGAAGGAGGGAGGAAGAACGGCATGAACTGGCGGGGGGGGGGGGGGGGTGCTCCTGGTCTTTTAAGTAAAGCTAGTGGTTCAGGCCAGGATTAACATCTGCACTGGGCCTCTAAATGTTATTAAACAATAATAAACTAAGCTTGACCTTACCATTCGAGTCCGGTCTTCTGAAGATGAGGAGGATTTCCTCTCTCGCTGAGGGCCTGGGGATTTCTGTAATGCTTTCACACTGGTGAGGGACCCAGGTAGGGAAGCAGGAGGTGTAGCCGACAGACCTGCGGTTGAACCTACCGTTGAGATTAAAGAAAGAAAGAAACCGAAACACAAGTGGACTTCAGACAGTACTAAAAGCAGAGGTTACGGCTTTAAGATGCAGCTATTTCCAAACGTTAAAGCATATAACGATGTCAATATTACGAATTCTTTTAAAAGTACATTTAAACACACACACTTCCAGTGCAGCCCTAACCCACTTAGTTTTATTGTGAATTGCATTTTTCCATTCATGAAAGGAAAGAAAGTGGAAAAGCACCAACCATCACGGCACACTACGCAACCTCTGTTAGTTACTGAATTACTGAAAGGACGCTGGGCACACTGCAGAGGAAGACAAGCAGGCTCAAGACCCACTGAAATCAATGCGACTTCAGCACATTTAAGCTTCGTCTGTGCCGCCCACTGTCTCTTTAAGCAGGAAAAAAGCCAATTAAAACAATGCACTGCATTCTGCTTGCTTGTTGTTGTTTTTTTAAAACTATTTTATGCTTTGGCTAATTTAGCTGGCTTTCCAAACTTATTGTCACTGACCCCTTAGGAATCTGATAAAAGGTGGGCATGCTAACTTGGGACTTAACTGGAGGGCCGATTAAAAAAAGAAAACAAAAAATAAGGCCAGGATCCGAAGAACCGTCAAGCTCGTTCTGTGAGCCCAAGGGTGTATGTTCTTTCCTCAGTCAGCAGCTCCCTATGCCGCACGGCAAGCCGCTCTCAAAGAAGAGGGGCTATATCGTTAATATAAAGAGATAAACTCCAAAAACCACCAGACAGGCCTTGATCTATGTAGCTTCGTGGCACTACTTAACAAAAGGAACTAATTCCCGCTGCTGACTTTTAAACTATATGCGGAAAAAGGATTTTACTGTCAGCATCCAAAGCAAAGGATATAAAAACAAGAGACGCCACTCTTGTCTCTTGGCCTAGGCTGCTGTAACATTTCAGAGAAATGACTTGTAGTGTGAATGGGGGGTTGCGTGGGCTTCACAAAGGAGTCCTGGCTTGCTGAAAAAGCAATATCCAACTGGAGGAAACTTTCTAGTATTATCTAAACAGCCAAAATGCTTGAGAAAGTAAAGGCCATGTTAAATAGGAGTGCTGTTTATGAGGCAAGAACAACATGAGGCTGTAAGTGCAAAACTGCAGACACTGGAATACCTGAAGTTCAGATCTGTGGGGCAGAGAGAGGAAACAATCTCTCATTCACTTGTGCAAAATGACCTACTTAGAAGACGTGGAGCTCTTCCTGTCTCCTGCACCGTCTAATGGGGCACGGAAGGCCCGTCCATGGCACTCTGCTTTCTCATAAGGGGCTCACCTTTGCACCCATGGTTTCAGCTGTCTTAACTCACTCCGCTTCCCCAAGCTTTCTGTTCTGATTTCAGCTGCTGAGCAGTCGCTGGCACTTCCTTACAAGAGTGCCACTGTTGGTTCAAACTAAGTAGAAGGGAAACCCAGCTCCTGCTTTCTGCAGTGGGGCCCTGGGCCTTTCCCCTTCTTGGTGCCCTCATCCATCCTCTCTTCCTAACTTCCTACAACTTGGGAGACTACTTCCCCTCTTTTCATCATTTCCAGATAACATCCTGCCGGGATTTCAAATGCTGTAGTGAGTGTTCTACATAGGAAAAAAAAAATAGATGTGTCAAATTACTGACGCCTCTCACCCAAAATGGTGGCCAAACGCTTGTCTACTGGGGGCTAGCTTAAGCTAGTATTCTAACCCTTTCACAGGGAAATCGTATATTGCGTATGATGTTGAAAGTGCAGCACTCTCCTCTGAAACTCAGCAGGAGAATGATACTGGACTGTCAACTTGCTGCTGAGCTCAGTAGTAATACAGCAACAGCACCGTAGGCCAAATGCTCTCATTAATTTATTAGAAGCCATGCTTTTTTCATTGTCCCCAGTTCATGCTGAAACCTTTTGGCCTGAAAACGTATGTCACATAAACAATGAAGCTACATTTCCAGGGTCTTTGTTATGCTTGTGTTATTTTGAAAAAGTTATTCGTTTTCAGAATGGGTTAAGCACAATGGGCAAACGCCCTTTGCTGAAGAACAGCCAAAATGGAAAGTATTTCTATACCAATTAGAAAGTGGGTTGCAGTATCAGGTTTCCATGCTGTGGTCAAAATACTTGAACTGTGATCCAGGAGACTTAGGTACAGTTAAGCCCACTTCAGTACATGATTCGTAAGTGCACTTATCTATGCTGGATCATGGCCTTGAGGTGTTTTTTTTTTTAAAACATTAAGATAATTCATGTACTATCAACCACAAATCCACAGCACTAATAAGCCAAAAGGAAAGATCTTATGTGTTAGTAAACAAACTGGATCTTGGCTTCAGTTCAAGCCTACAGAGTATTGCAACAAGCTCCATTAGTATCCAGACTGTTGACATCTACAGCTCAGTCACTGAGATGAACTGTATACCAAATCATTAACCATGTAAATAAAGTCGTCAGTGGAACTGTTGGTACTTTGCAGCAGTACTCTGACAGAATGGGGTAATGTTAGGAAACACATCAGCATTAAGTTAAAACTGACAGTCAAGGAAATCCTGCACAGATCATGCATAACAGAACACACTACGTAGTTCTGCTAGAACGCCCAGTAGAGTTGGCAATTTTTGTACCGCCTTTTGCTCCTGTGACGCATAACAGAACACACTACGTAGTTCTGCTGGAACGCCAAGTAGAGTTGGCAATTTTTGTACCGTCTTTTGCTCCTGTGACTTTAAACGGCACGTTGATCTGCTCTCCAAGGCAGGTGAGGATTCTTATCTCTGCACTATGAAAAGTTTCAGCCTGTTGATTTCTGCAGTTCAGCCTGAGCGTTCTTTCCTCCCTGTTAAGTTGGCAGCCCTCATCACAGGGAAACCGCCTTGGAGCACTTAATGCTCTAAATGGATATTAAGGAATTGCAGAACCTGTCCCTGCTCTCACTTCCACTGCAACTGAGACCCCCTTCGACAAGCAACACACTGGGTTTTTTTTTTTAAAGGCAGCACGGAAACCTCGGCTGTACAACGCGTCGCTCTAGGAGCCTTATGACATATGCCCAACACAGAATGATATGTGGGTTTGATAAGGGCGAGAGAGTGAAAATGGGTGAGAAGCACATTCAAAGCATTCCAGCCAGGCCAAGCGAAAAAAGGAAAAAAAAATATATGACCGTGTCTTGATAAACTCACACACTTACATACACACGCTGTGAGGGTGAAGCACAAACAGCATCTGTGGTTTTATTTAGTTTGATTTGGGTGAAAACGAGAAAGAAGAGCCCAACTACCTCTGAACACTGGGCCAGGCTCAAAATCAAACACTATCTCACTGGGGACAGAATGGAGGAGGGGACTGGGAGTCCGGGATTGGTATTTCCGAAGGCAGCGCATCAGCTGGTTCATAGGGGCTGTTAGAGAGAAAGAGACGGGCAGGCAGAGACAGGAAGACAGACACACAGAAGAAATGAAAGTCATGGGACATAACTAAAGATGCTTTGACTCCTAGGCACAGATAGTTTCTGACTTTCCAGGGGAGGGGGACCCCCCCCCCCAATTTCCACTTTGTTTAAGAGACAGAACACTTCTAAGTGTGTGGGAATATTATCAGATGCCCAGCAGAGAGCTTATGGACCAGAGTTTTAAACTGACACAATAGTACACAACATTTAAATGCTGGACAAAATGGGCAAAACTGTTCAAAAAAAACCACAGCTCCCCAGACATACAGGATAGTTAAAATGGGCAACATATTAATTGGTGGGGGTTTGTGGTTTTCGGTTGCACACCGGGGCCGTAGATCGTAAAGTCTGCAAAGTAGTAGCCAGCTTGTTAGACGTTAACAGGGTGGGGTGGAAAATTAAAAATTATGACTAAAACGAAACAAAGTACATGACAGCCAAGTCATCAACATTACTGAAGCCCTGAATTGCAAATGGAGTTTTTTAAAAAAAAGAAAAAAGGAAGCCATGGAAAGCAAGAAGGGCAGCTGATTAACGCATGCTTTCCTGCGCCACATGGGGAGAATCCTATGCCAGTCTAAAGGGATAAAGAGCCATGTCAAAGCTTTCATGATGCCTGGCGGCCAGCTAGCATTTGGAGTTACAACCTGAACAGATCTTGCAGAAGTAGCAACAGCCATGGGCAGGTGGTATCATGGGGTGGAAATAAAGAAATAAGCATATAGCCCGCACCTCACTACCAAGGTTCATCTCTGCTAAGAGCGCAACACATTCAGGAGCTGTCACTTCAAAGCTGATGTCTGTTTTTAGCCCATGGGAGTGTCCTATGCCCACCCACACCTAAAACCACCAAGAAGGAAGGGCTAGCAAATTTGTCACTGTGGAGAAAGTGATGGGTGTACTACGGAATCGTGAGTAGCTTGGAGTACCCACTTCTTTCTCAGAAGTAACAGGCATTAAGCCTCCATTTGTCATGGCTCTGAATACCAGAGGGATTTTCTTAAGGTGCCCCAGCGTTATACAAACAAGGAGGGACACATCTTTCCGAGGCCCATTCGCAAAGGGAGCGCTGGCTGGCAGGCCTGAAATGGAGTCCATGCTGTGCATCAAAGCAGTAAGGTGACATGTTCTGGCTTTTTAGGACCAAAGGGGGATAAGCTGAAGGTCTCTTACCTCCAGGAGGTATCTTGCCTATTAAAAAGAACACTGGCTACCACTTTGCATGTTATTCTCCACCCTCCCCACCCGCAACCCCTTACAATGAAATGTGAGCTGCTGAAAGTTATCCGACGAATGCTAAATGTCACGGACAAGCAAGTACCACTAAATTTCACTGCTCTGTTTACATTTCTCTCTGTGTCTGTGTTTTGCAGGGGTGGGGCGGGAAGCACTGAATTCTGTACACAAAGAGAACAAAGTCACTTACCTCCCTCTCCTCGCAACCCTTGATCTCTAATGAATTCCTACAAACCAAAAACAAAACTGTATGCATCTTATTCATGCATTGCTTGCAAAACTGGTCACTATTTCAGCAGAGGATAAACACAAGAGAGTTTTCTGTTCAGTTAAGAATTACATACAGGCAGCAGCTTTGTAAGATACAGAACTCCTTGTTGCCAGCCTCTCAGCACCTGTGTGCCCACAGGGTCAGCTTGACAAGCTAAGGTCGTGAGCAAGTCGGAACAAGGTGAATCATGCTAGGATCATGTCCTGCACTAACTGATACTGCCAAAAACATTATTCTCAAAGAGCAAGGAAGGGAAAAAAATGAAGAATCTCAATTGGAAGTGCAGGGAGAGCAACTGTCAAATAGAAGTGTTATATAGGTGAGATGTTCGCATATGGACCAGTTTCCATTAATGGGCTTTTGAGTAACATAGAACTGTCAAGCAAAATAGAAATGCCACAGTTAACTCTGCTTCTGGGAACACTGTGGAGTGGCATCTGAGAAGGCCAATATATTGCTAGGCCCCTGTACTCCGAGAAACAGAAATACAAGCTCATATACATTTTGAGGAAGGCTATACATGGCTCCCACATCCTGGCACTTTACAGGGCTGAGCCAACTCAGCTTCAGCCATGAGTCACGAGACTTCAGGCCATGGTTGCACTTTGACAGAAACGCTCCTGCCTTCCCACCCCACCACTCTAACCCTGAAAGGTGGGGACTCTGGAAAACCAAGTAGGGCTGGCAGGATGGATTTGACAGGCAGGATGCCGGTCACTGCCCACTCCTGCTTTAAGCGACTAAGGAAAGGGAAGCAGATAACCCTCGTTATAAAGACCAAGCTCAGGCTGAACTTACATCAATGTTGACAGGTTCTATCGTGTTGATGTGCACGTTGGGGGCGGATGAGGAGCGATCTCGTTGACCAAACTGATTCCGATGGTCTTCGTCTGCTGGACGGAATGGCTGGGGTATCGGAATGGATTTCGAAGGAGATGGACTAGGGAGGATTGCTGGGCTAAGAAAATTAAAGCATGAAAAGAACAGAGGATTAAAGTTGGCAGTGATCTCCAGTTACTCTACAGAAGATGCTTCCATCCAGGTGATTTCCCTGCTTTCTAGTGATGGTTTAATGAGGCATATAAAAGCACATCGCAGCTGAGATCTACATCCCAATCACGGCACCAGTTAAGGTACACAAAGCAGACAGGCCCTGCCAATGCTGGGTTTTTTTAACATAACAGATATAAACAGGAGATTTGAAATTACTGCTCTCAAACTTTAGAGTACAAAATACAGTTAATTCGCTAAATAGATCTCTCCCGTTGTTAGAATGAAGAGCGCCATTTCTAGCACAAACAGAACGTGTATGAGGTCGAGCATACTAGCCTATATAGGGTCTTTCCTTCTCAGTGCTAAATAAATGTTCCCATTTTTAGGCCACTAAGGGTTAGACCAGCAGTCCAGTTTCATCTGCTATGTGCTGACTATTTTAAAGGCTTTTATATTAATGAAACTATACAGAAGAGACTCTGGAAGGGAACCATTTCTGGGACACCATGCTTTGAACAATTACTGTCCCAGCTTGCCAAATGACTGGCCTGGAGACCAATATATGCTGGACCTCTTCAGACAATCGTTTGAAAGCTATCCCACCAGGTAGCAATTGCTGAAATCTACTGCACAGTGGGATGAAAATGGGTCGTATCTGGATCTATGCATCTGAACCCACATCAAAAAGCTGCTGATGGGGAGGAGGGGTCAGAAAAGTCCAGTCATAGCCCAAGGGAAGCAAATTAACCCTTCTTTATCTGTCAATGGCAAGCTCTCTTATACCAAACACCACAAGGGATACTGCTCTTTTTCCAAACAGACAACACACGTTTCTGTTCCCAGGGAAATTCAGTGGCCTCTGAAAAAGTCTACCTTTGAAGACTATCTAAAAATTTGAAATGGTGCAGAACAAGACAACAGGGTTACTGACTGGCATGGGTTATAAAAAACCTAGTCTGCTTGCTCGGGGCTCTGGCCAGAAGCTCCAGGTTTGCAGAAATCCCGAGGAAACAATATCTTCTGTGAGCAACTGACCTGTCCTTCAGTCTGTTATCCTTTTCTCACATTAAAACTACTACGACTCTGAGCAGTTAAAGACAAACCACCCATCGCCAAGTCTGCACGTATTTCCCTTTTATTGCTATCAAGGCTTTTAACTGTTTCAGGAGGTGATATTCCTTCCCTCATCTTATTTTTAAAAAACAATTTGTATTTTTCTGCATATTTGGAATCCCACAAGTGTGTAGAATTCCCTGAGGATAATTCTGTTTCAGTGACCTGCCGACTGGAGATCTGGAAGTAGCTGAGGGGACGGGACACTTCAAACTCCATCCCAACCCCAAGACATCCCCCATCTTGGATAAATTCCCTCTCTCCTTCTCATACCCTCTGACTATCAGCTGCTTTCAAGGTTCAGTATATAAAACCCTCACCAGGCCATTTGGGATAATGTACAAAGTCACCCTTTTCTGCATGTATGTAGAAACCCTTATGATGCCTGTGGGTGACCTGGTTATGCTGCTTTCACAGTTGCCACAGGGGCTAGTGAAGTTACTCCTAGAAAGTGTGATTATAAATAACAACACTCATGCTTCCTTTGTGGTTAAATGTGAAATACAGCGCAAGCATGGACACTAACCTGAGCGCATTGCTCCAAGAACTGCTGCTACACAACCACAACCTTTCCTTTCAATTAAACTGCTCTGAACGGAAGGAAGCTGTCCTGTGCCATAACTGAGCTTGCTGTTTAAGCAGCAGCACTTAGCATTAATGTTAAGCAGGGGTATCAGTATTGTGGCCAGGCAGAATGGAAGATTTGTATTCACTTACCATGAAGCTTCCTTCTCGGTGGTCCAGAGTGGGGCAATCCTTGACTCCTTACTCCTGGGAAAGCACCTCCCCCTTCCGTAGGCAGGGCCAGCAAACTTTGATCCCAGAGGGGGAGGGGCTTATCCTCTGATCCCCAGTCATACCGAAAGCCACCTCCGAGCTGCTGTAAATTCACTTAAAAATAACTCCTTCCCCCTCAGAAGCCATCCCCCTCATGGCTGCCATTTGAGGGGAAAACTCTTTGTTTTCCCCTCAAATGGCGTGGCCCCGCCCCCAGCGTGCAACGTCACTTCCGGGTGACGCGCACGCCGGGGCGGAGTTCCCCCCGGGCCCCGATTCCCCGGCGTCGGGTAACGGGCCTCCGGGGCGGGGGGAATTCCGCCCTACCGGGGGGGGTTGGCAGCCCTAGTCACAACCCTGATATTCCTTGGAGGTCTCCCATCCAAATACTAGCCAGGGTTGACCCTGCTTAGCATCCGAGATCTGATGAGACTGGGCTATCCTGGGGTCTCCAGGTTAGGGTGAGGATAAAGTACTTGAGTTCAAAACCAGTGATTAGATTGTTTTGGAGAAGTCTCAGTGTCCCCCTGAAAAACACTTCTTGGCTGTTGTGGTGAGGATAAACAATCATAACAAAATGTGTGGCATGTAAAAAGTACAATGTAAGTTAAAAAAAATATGCACCAGATGGGATATGATTTAAATTCTCTATGAGTCCTCACAGCACAAGAACAAAAGGCTGAGAATTGTTTTGCAACTGGTTTTCCTGTTTCCTGTACTCCAATTTTGCATCAGCTATGGAGCTGCTCAAAAGTTTTAGGCCCCAATGCACGGCAGTGTTCCCTCTAAGCTGAGTTAGTCTAAGCTAGCTCACAGTTTTTTAGCCTCTGGCTCACACATTTTTGTCTTAGCTCAGGAAGGAGGGCTCCAGAGCAAACTGATTTATGCAGTAGCCAAACTACGTGCTCACAACTTTAATGGCAGTAGCTCACAAAGTAGAATTTTTGCTCACAGGACTCCATAGCTTAGAGGGAACATTGATGCACGGGCTTATTCCAGCAACGAAGCAGAGCTGGTCAGAGCAGGACTGCAAAGCAATATTTTAACTCACTGAAGCATTATCATAATGATAGAATACACTGTCACTCAACAGTAGGAATTAAGGTCATACCCAGGAGAATCTGAGGGGCCCACTGATAGGTATGATCCAGACGCCAGCGTGGTCTCTCCTAAGGAGGTTTCCTCCTGCGGTATTGGGTGGTGCTCAAAGAACTTGGAGACAAACAGCAAGCTGTGAGGCAAGAACAAAAAGAAAGCTGACTTGGGCAACTCCCCCCCCCCCCGAAGTTTCACAACAGTCAGAGGAGAAGAACATAATGTCAACTAGAATGTGTTCAAGAGAAAAAGCATTGGAAGACAATTGCTCAAGTTCGTCACAGTTAAAACTGGGAGAGAGATCACAGTCAGTGACTTGGGTTACTCGGCTAAAGAGCTGCTTTGTGCACTGGTCAGAAGGGCTTGATTCTTGTGAGGTGGGAGAAATACTTTGTTTCTTGATATATGAAAAGTATCGCCAGACATTATGCTTGCCTAAAACATCAACCATGTACAGATGCTACCCATGATGTTCAGGCACACATGAACACATTCTATTGTATACCTCCCCATTCCCATAGCTTCTGGCTGGAGAATGCACGACATCCTGGCTCAGTTCAGATATCGCAACGCTCTGTTGTTAGTGCTGGGCAAAAACCTGGCTCACTGCCAGACTCACATGCTCCTTTCTTTCCTGCCATTATGTGCAATCCAAGAGGGTTAAGAATCCCAGTGGACTGGTATAGAAACGAACCCCAATTCATGAAGATGCCCACCGTTGGATGTCAATACCAGCTGGAGTTATATGGAAGACTTCTTCCTTTAATCTTGGGACAGCATAAAAGGGGGGGGGGAGTAAGAGCGGGAACTCATGAAATGGCCTGGTAAGTAAAGTTTGTGCCCATCACAAACAAACTGAGATCTGTTCATGACATTTGAATTGCACCTCTCACTTCATAACCGGGTGTTGTTTTTTTGCTGTCAAGTCACAGCTGACTTGACAAAGAGTCTGTTTGATGTTTTGGTTAAGGGCAGCGGACTCTAATCTGGAGAACCAGGTTTGATACTCCATTCCTCCACATGCAGCCAGCTGGGTGACCTTGGGCCAGTCACAGTTCTCTCAGAGCTGTTCTCTCAAGAGCAGTTTGTGTCAGAGTTCTCTCAGCCCCACCTACCTCACAGGGTGGCTGTTGTGGGGAGAGGAAGGGAAGGAGATTGTCAACCGCTCTGAGACTCCGAGTGAAGGGTGGGGTATAAATCCAACTCTTCTTCTTCTTAAGGCAATTCCATAGGGTTTTCAAGGCAAGAGACGTTCAGAGGTGGTTTGCCACTGTCTGCCTCTGTGCCATGACCCTGGTATTCCTTGGAGGTCTCCCATCCAAATACTAACCAGGAACAACCCTGCTTAGCTTCCAAGATCTGGATAGCTTGGGCTATCCAGGTCAGGGCACAACCAGGATTAGTATGCCGAAATATTATTTCGGAGATAAGAAGATGTGGGTCCTGGCAATGGGGATGCCATTTTCTGCAGAAGCCATACATCAAGCAAAACATCTCGATTCTGTACTAAAATGCTGGCTATTATCTGAAATGTTGTGATGCTACAGTATTAAAAAGGGAAGCCATTTTATGGAGACAAATAAAAAACGCAAATCTGTTTAGAAATTGCACATGAGGCCTTTAAAGGATGTCACTGGCCTTTGTTGTTAAAATATTCCACCTCTTCTGGTATCCACAGATTAAGACTGTGTCTGAGTGGCTTTTGTAAAGCCTGCATTGGTTGACATGGCAAAAAAATTTCTCTGCTGTTGTTTTTAATTCTTAAATATTTTTCTTGGGAGTGTGGCTTATGGGCTGTCGGACCTAAATAAAGACTGAAGACTAGTCTTTGTTGAAGTAGAACACTGCTGTGCTTCAAAGGAACAGTTTTGGCAAGACATCTGGCAAAGAATAAGCAGAATAAACACAGGGAATACACGAGAGAACCTTTTGGGCTCAATCCACTGAGGTATTCTGCCATAAGGCACAAAAGCTACCAACAGAGGGTTTCATTTTCCAGCCTTGTGGCAGCAGATCGAACAGCAGTTTCAGAGGGAAAAGTACCTGCCTGAAAAAAGATGCTGACATTATGTGACTACTTTGATCCCAGTCTCCATGCCCAAGTACAACAGGACCACATTTAAGTTACACAAGGCATCAGCCTAACAAGGAAGCTTTCTGACCGAAGAACAGCAGCTGAGCTGGTTTTTCAGATGGGCACAAAAGCCACCAGAGTCGCATGTAGCACAGTGGTGGTGGTGGTGGTGGTGGTGGTGGAAGATGCCATCAAGTCACAGCTGACTTACAGTGACCCTGCAAGGCAGGGCTGTCAAACATAAGGCCCGGGGGCCAGAACCAGCCCGTCCAGGGCTCTTATCCGGCCCTTGAGCAACTGGTATGTATGGAAATGTAAGGTACTCCCCCCTTTTATGAGATCCCTTGGAAAAAACCTAGTCTTGCATATGATTAAATACCTCAATTGGGGCTTTTGTGGGTTCCCCAGTAAATCAATTGCTTTCACTGCTAGGAATCAATTGCTTTTGTTTGTATTTTGAGTAAAAATAAAATTGTTAATTGGGTTTACCGGTGTCCTTTATATCTAGGGTACCTGGTGGCCCGACAAAGTGACATTTATGTCAGTTCCGGCCCTTATAACAAATGAGTCTGACACCTCTGCTGCAGGGTTTTCAAGGCAAGAGATGTCCAGAGGTATTTTGCCATTGCCTGCCTCTGCTGAGTGTCCTTGGACTTCCTTGGTGGTCTCCCATCCAAGTACTGACCAGAGTTGACCCTGCTTAGCTTTTGAGATTTCAAGAGAATCGGGCTAGCCTATAGCACAGTAGCCCTGCATAAAATTCCAAGAGAGGGGGAGATGTGCTCTCTGACTACCAGCTGTACTGGTGCAACCCTGTGCACTTGATATATTGCAACAGGGCACCTTTATCAAACGGGAAGCACAGCTGGAATTACTTCTTCTTTTGTACTGTTGGAAATGTCACTGTTGCTATGTTAATGCAAGAAACTCCAATGCTATTACAGCTGCAAAAATCAAAGTATTAAAATACAGGGCACATCTGATTACTTACTCAAGTTGATCATAATTCACACACATCAATGGCACCTCTGTACTACAACGCTGGTGAAATTTATATCCACAAGTCTGACAGCGGAATCCCTGGAAAAGCAGCTTTCGACAGAAGTCACAGAATGCTAAAGTAAAGAATGTCTTTCGTACCTGTGGCATCAACAACAACAACAAAAGTAGTAGTCATCATGAGATATGCCAGTCTGGCAAGTCTAAAACTAGTTATCTTGTTCTCACTAATACTGAAATGTCACTTACCAAAGACCTGTTCAGATTCTTTCAAAGCTGTATTTTTAGTCACAATTAAACAAAAAGCATTCTTCTAAAGACCTTGTGATTGCTACGATAACAGCTCGTTTTCAAATGTTTAATAATTTAAGTCAGGCACTGAAGAATACCTCATTGTTGCTCTTAGCAGTAAGACTTTAGTTCACATTTAGTGTGAATGTAGGTGCCTAAAGTCAGACCTTTAAACACACCTTGATGTTTCTACAGACACAGCCCAATTTTCAGCAAGTAAGAAGAAGTTCTTTCAGGGTCTCCTCTAGTTAAGTGTTGTTTGCATTTAGGCACTCAGATCAACAACTTGGGCTTCAAGTTTCTAGTAGCATTTTATACCTCATAAAAGAAAACAGCTTCAGGTTTAGAAACCAACAATCCCACATACAAGGTAATAACTCCTCAGCTGAAACAGAGTTTGGGGCAGTAAAATTCCATAAATTACATCCATAAAACAGAAAGGATGAAAGAAATTTAGCTTGCAATCCCAGTAGGAATTAACAGGAATTAAATCATAGCTGAAAAGACATTTTTGAGTCAACATGGTGAGGATCCGGCTATTAGAAAATCAACTCTCCATTTGAATAGTTACTCTGAAAAGAAGATTTGATCCCATAAGGTGTACCGTACACTGCATACTTACAGAAGTGGGGTTACTCTACTGCTAGCTACATAAAGCTTTTGCAGATTGGCACTTGCTGCATCTAGCAACCTGTGGGGTTCAGGATTATAACCCATACCTGCTTGAAGACTTGGGCCCTAAATTGCCCATGTTTAATAGAGGATGCTCGCTGCTTGATAACGAGGTCGTTTTACTTTTATTGATCAGCAAAACTCAAGTGGTAATACAAAATAACCCTCTAGATTACGGTTTAAATTTTCCTTCTAACCAGCAGTTAAGACTTTTAAAAGCTTATCCAGCTGATATTTGAAAGATCGAAATTGGAAGGATATGTAAACAAAATGTTTATCTTTTTCAAAGGTAATGAGGAAAGGGGAGGAAATGAACATTCAAATGTCTTTAAGGGACATCGTAAAGAGATGTAATATTTTTATGAAATTATACTCCTAGAGCTTCAGTGGACGCAACACAATTTAAATAGCTAAGGTGAAGACAACATTTCTTTCAGCCGTCATCTCCATACAATAAGCCTGGTCCACAGAGCTCCAGATTGTGCTGGAACCATCTAGATGATTTGCCTCCATTTGCACTGGACTTTCTTGGGAAAGGTTCTATTTCAAAAATCACCGATTCTCTCAGCACTGCTTTGCAAACACAGATCTTCAGTTAACTGCTGCTGCGGAACCAGCAAGGGACTAGTGATCACACTCCTCCATAACACAACAGCACTTAACTTTATTAAATCACTATTGCTCTGTCACAAACGGTTATATTTAAAAATCTCATGTACAAAGACAGTTTGTTAAATTCCCATATGAGAATGTTACTGTTTCTAAAGAACTACACTTTATTTAATGTCAAGTAAATTGTTCTAAATCAAAGACAATTTACATAATTCTTTGAGCAATTACAGGTTCAGCCTAAAGACTTCGGTGATGCAAAAGCTGACTACATCCTTGTAACAAGCACTTAAAATGAACGTAAGGTAATCTACTTCAGGTTCCTGCCTGGAGGGAGGACTCTAATCATGACTGGTCTGCTGAGTAACCCACAACATCGAGATAACAGCAATGGCTCTATTAATATTCAGCTACAGGTAACAACTGCCTTTCTAAACATATGCTGCACACACTGCACTCCATTCATTATATTAGAGAAACAGTGCTGCTTACTCACCTACAGTGAGCAAAAATTAACTTAGGTAAAGCATACCCTTGCATAATGGAAAACAGTCACAGCTGCATCACCAAGAGGGGGAGAGCATCTAAAAGCTAGCTCTAGAAGTCCCTGAACCACAAAGACCATCTATATGATGCAGACACCCCACAAAGAAGAAGAAGAAGAGATTGGATTTATACCCCGCCCTTCACTTGGAGTCTCAGAGCGGCTTACAAACTCCTTTCCCTTCCCTCCCCACAACAGACACCCTGTGAGGTGGGTGGGGCTAAGAGAAATCTGACACAAACTGCTCTTTTTCAAGGACAGCCCTTATCAGAACTACGGCTTGCCCAAATGCATCCAGCCAGGTGCAAGTGGAGGAGTGGGGAATCAAACCCGGTTCTCCCAGATTAGAGTCCGCACACTTAACCACTACACCAAACTGGCTCTCTAGAAGAAGTAATAGCCCACCCCTCCAAATCAGGCAACTATGTACAATAACCAACTAGATGTCATGCTTATAGCAGGTGAGCCGATAATGATTCCGCATATATTTGCAGGGTTGCGCGTTAAGGGACTCTGAGAATGCCAAGAGGGGATAGGACAAACACTCCATACCGCTGGCTGCAGTGGAAGAGCACTGTCATTCAGAAAGTAGAATTCAACCTGCTTTTCAATCTGTGAAAAAGTGCACCTAAAAGCCAAGGCAGAAGTGCCATTTTTTCAACTACAGTATTTAAAGACGCTCATTTAATTTTTGAGTGGCAGAACAGATGAAGCTGAAGCACCCCATGACACTACAGAAAAATACGTACAAAGTTATGTGTTGTAAGAGGCACATTCTCCAAGACTTCCACATGTAATTCCTCTCCAGTAAGCCAGGAAATGTCTGTATCCCAACCGATAGGTTTCTTCTCCCTACAGTGCAAATAATACCTTTATAGTTTAACCAAACCTCCAAATTCAAGCAGATCATAATTCTGAAGATCTAAAATTGTTTATTGAAAAGACAATGGTATTGAGTGGAAGCTGATGCTGTCGGAGAGAAGAGTTAAAAGAGCAAGAATTTAGCTTGAGGTTTTTCAATTAATTTCAGCGCTCTTGTACAGACAGCAAAGTAAAGATCTACAGCTTCTTTCTCAGTTCATCCCTGGCAAAGATCTACAACAGCAGCAGGCTACAGAGGTCCAACAACTACAAGTAGCATTTTCCACTGGGAAAAAAAGCAAGCCATCAAGCAACAATAATTAAAAGGTTTGTTTTTTTTAAGTACTAGATTGGAGCCAGTGTTTTCACTAATGATGGAAACAATTTGTATGCTATAATAGCAACTTCCAACAGGGATTACTTAGTATGGAAACTATTTTTGTGAAAAAAGAGAACTTCCAAACGTTGGCTTTAAATTATATGCTTTGCAAATACAGAAAAGGAGAACTAAAGCCCCAACCTGGTACCCACTTATTTCTTAGTACCCACTTGGCTTCTTCCCCAAAGCACTTCTTCCTCAATGCACAGAGCCAATCCTAGCTGTCCTCCACCTCAATGGAGCAGGAGGCACTACAGAACAGCCTGTGAGGCATATCATTTGGGGTCATGTGAAGCATCCATCCAGAAAGAGCTGCCTCCATCATCAGAGGCTTTGCTTGAACCCTAACAATCTGTGGAACCTCCCAATGTTTTGTGATAGGACTGAGCCCCTATGTCAGCCATTCTATGATTGGTCCCTCCATTTTGTTGTGGCGCCTACTACCTGTACGCCAAATTCCCAAAGTGCTCACAGGTTCGACAAGGTTGGGTACAGTACATCCTAACCAGCAAATGAACAGATTCCACATTCACACCCAAAATCTCTGAAATGTTACAGCTGTTGCTAGAGGCTGTCTGGTGAGTCTTTGCCCACTGACATGCTCTGGAAAAATAATTTATTCTAAACTGTGGAGAAATCCATCTTTACTTTTACCGATGGCTCATACTCTCCAGCCCCTTAAGGAATCTTTCTTCCATTCGCTCCCCAAACCACAATGTTATACAAACCATACCCATCTTGTATTCGGTAAACAGCACAGCACTCTGGAATAAGACCTCGCATCATCAAAGCTTTCTTTAAGCTATCCCGGACTGTTACCCCGCATCTTGCTGGAACCTGTGAAATCACAAAGGGGGAAAAAAAGTTTGGTTTCATCTTAGTGTTAGGGAAATATTTCTAAATCCTTAAAAACATGATGTCTGGAGATGTGTATGTGACAAAACTTGATCATAAATATGATTTCCCAAAAGTTCTTTGCACCTTCTCTGCTGAGGACACATGAAGAGAAGTTAAATATTTGGCATTTAATGCTGATCTATAGATTCAGGTGGGTAGCCGTGTTGATCTGAAGCAGCAGAACCAAGTTTGGGTCCAGGGACACCTTTAAGACCAGCAAGGTTTTGTTCTGGGTATCAGTTTTCATGTGCATGCACACTTCTTCAAATACATGTACCTGAAGAAGTGTGTATGCACATGAAAGCTTATGCCCAGAATAAAACTTTGTTGGTCTTAAAAGGTGCCACTGGACACAAACTTAATGCTGATCTATGTGCAACTGGTTTGAAATTGACTCCCCCTCCCCAGTCACAATGGAACAGTTTATTTGCCACAACTGGCAATAACTAAGGCCGGTCATTAACAGGGTATCCAATGAAGTTGATGGGCAGTAGATTCAGGATGGACAAAATAGTTCTTTACACACAAAGTGACTGAAATGTGGAATTTGCTGCCAGAGGATGTAGTGATGGCCACATGAATAGACACCTTTAAAAGGGTATTAGATAGATTCATGGAGGATAAGGCTATCAGTGGCTACTAACCATAATGACGGAGGGAAACCTCCACATTATAGGCACTAAACTTCTAAATCCCAGAGCCAGGAGGCAACATTAGGGGACCTTTTTTGCCTCTGTGCCCCTCTTGTTGGCCCTCCAGAGGAACTGGTTGGCCACTGTTTGAGACAGGATGCTGGACTGGATAGACGACTGGTCTGATTCAGCCAGGCTCTTGTGTCCTTAAGGTGTCCAGTTGTCAACAGGAACTAGAAACTGCTCTTTTCTATAAAATTCCACTGAACACACAGTAAGCTGAGCAGAGACTCCGCTCTTATAAACTACCCAGCTGAGACAGCACCTTTTGCAAAAGAGCTCTGCTATTTATGTCCTTTCTGAGCCAAAGTAACACTCAATAAATTAAGACTGAAATTCAGTGGAGATATTGTCTGTGCTTTATGCATGTGGTCTTTGGAAGGAGCTCTTATTTCTCCTATTTACATCTTCCTTTTCCTGAGGCAGAGTCACAGGGAATGGTGTGAAGTGAACTGTAATTACATGTCGTAGTTGCACAAACTGCAGCATTAACCAACAGCCATCTTGTTAAGAAAAAAAGTTTGGAAATTGCTCTTGTGTGGAGTTTGAAGGGTATGCAAGACTGCACACGATTACTGTGTAAGAAAAAAAGGTATTTTACTAATGCTCAGAGGACAGCTATTACCTCAGATGCTGTTGGGTCAAACAAGCTTTGCCCTATATTTGAGCAAATCCAAGAAGAAAATTAAAAGAGGAGGAAGGAGAGAATGGAAGCTGACTTAGCAATATGAAAAAATAAAGGGGAAGAGCATTAGCTAATTAGTTTGACATTGATTCTAAGACAGATTTAAGAACAGATTATTAATGTATTTGTCACCATCTGGAAAAACACAGTGTGATTGTTAAATCTCAGCACAGCTTTCTTAGGAATAAGTCATATCAGACTGATCCTTCTTTCCCCAATAAAATTACTGGTTTGGAGGATCAGGGGAATTCTGTGGATGCAGTCTATTTGGATTTTAGTAAAGCTTTTGTTGCAGTGCCCCAAGATGTTCTAGTTCAGAAGTTGGGGTGATATGGGCCAGACCCCATTGCTGTTAGGTGGACTGTACTCAAAGGGTGATGGTTCATGGTTCCCCATCAACCTGGAGGGAGGTGAGAAGGGGGAGTGCCTCAGGGTTCCATTCTGGGACCAGTGCTGTTTAACATCTTTATGAGTGACTTAGATGAGGGAGTTCAAAATGTGCTCATAAAGTTTGGGGATGATACTAAACTGGGTGGGGTAGCTAATAACTTGGGAGGTAGAAATAGGATGCAGCTGGACTTGGACAGGATGGAAGATTGGGCCCAGACAAATAAAATGAAGTTCAATAGGGTCAAGTGTAAAGTGTTCCACTTGGGTAATAAAAATCAGTTACATAAATGTCAGATGGGTGAAACCTGGCTAGGTAGTACCACCTACAGAAAGATTTGGGGGTTCTAATAATTAAGCCCTAATTTGGACTAAAAAGGATTTTTCTTGGGTCAGTCAGTCAGAAACTACAGGAGATCCAACAATGAAGTCCTACACAACTGTGGCCATGTTGTTTTCTGCCATAAAGTTTGTACATGGTGATGAACTATGGGTTTTTGTTATAGGAATGAAAATGGAAGCTGGATTCTCCTCACACAAAACTTGGAAATTGTTCTGTTTTAATGGCAAACCGAAGTTTGCTGACCTGTCTCTTTTCTCCAAACCAGGGTTCCTGATCTGAAAGGAACAAAAGAAACAATAATCTGTGCTTCAAATTTAACAAACAAGTCATCACTTGCCTTAAAAGCAAATAATTTATGAGACATGGGGGGCACATGTATCAAAGGACATAATGGTAAAGGTTTCCCTTGCTCGAAAGCCAGTTCAATTCGACTCTAGGGATGTGGTGCTCATCTCGGTTTCAAAGCCAAAGAGCCAGCGCTGTCCAAAGATATTTCCGTGGTCATGTGGCTGGCATGACTAGATGCTGAGGCACACGGAATGCTGTTACCTTCCCACCGAAGTGGTACCTATTTATCTACTTGCAAGTTCTTGCTTTTGAACTGCATACCTTATATTTAATTTTTTGCACTGAACCTTTGGGGGGAGGGCAGTTGGTGCAGAGTGCCACAGCACAGTGCACAGTTACTGAGTTCTAAAGGTGCCATCCCACAAACGTGTAAGATCAGCAGCTGACCATTCACATGCATTCTCAGTGGTGGCTTACGCCTTGTGGAATGGCCTTCCTGAGGAGATCAGGAAGGTTCCTACACTTCTATCATTTTGCAGAATCTGCAGAACAGAAATGTTCAGGAGAGCATTTTTAAAAAGAGATTAAGGGTATAGGACTGTAGTCCACTACAATGATTATTGTAGGTATCACCTGCTTTTATTGCAGTCTATCTTTGTAATCCAATTTCTGTTTTGTTTGCAGCATTCATCGCCTTAGTCCGTAGTTTGCCCTGGTTTTCTGATTCTGTAATCCTAGTCCAAATGCCCCATGCATTGACCTGCATTGTTACATCCAGTAACCCACCCTGAGTCTCACTGAGAAAGTCTTTACTTCATTTACCGTCTGCCTGTCACCAATATGCTGATGATACCCAGATCTGTATGTGGTAGTAGAAAGTGCTGTCAAGTTGCAGCTGATTTATGGCAAACCCCCCCTCCTAGGGTTTCCAATGTAAGGGACATTCAGAGGTGGTTTGCCATTGCCTGCCTCTACGTAGAGACCCTGGAGTTTCCTGGTGATCTCCCATTCAAACACTAACCAGGGCTGACCCTGCTTAGCTTACAAGATCTGAGGAGATCAGGCTAGCCTGGGCCACGCAGCTCTGTATCTCCTTACTCAGATCTCATGGTGATGAGGTCCTGAATCACTGCCCTGTATGCTGAGGGTAAATTACTAAGGGTGAACAAATCGAAACTAAATCTTGAAAAGATAGAGGCAAGGCTGCTTGGGGAGGCAGTGATCTCAAAGGACCCTGTGCTTCCCACCTTTGATGGGAAGTCTAGGGGTCATAGCGGATCCCACATTACTGCTAGAGGAGCAAATCAATGCAGCCACACACTCACAGAGAAACTTTCTTCCAAATCAGTTTAGCTTGTAAGATGGCCCACTACCTTGACTTGGCTGATCCGGCCACCTGGATCCACACCATGGTAACAGTGAGACTAGACTACTCTAATGCACTCTACTTATGTCTCCTCTCAAAGTCAACTCAGAGACTTCACTTTGTGCCGAATGCCACAGTTCAATTATCATCAGGAGCAAGGCAAAACATGCATATTACTCCAATTCTACAGTCACTCCATTGGCTGCCCATCAGTCACTGGGTTCAAACTAAGGTATTGGCTATCGCATACAAAGCCCTTCATGGCCTTGGATACTCTGACTGCCTCTCCCTCCTATGTTCTGCCATGACAGCTTTACTTATTTGAGTAGGGCCTTCTATAGGTTTTTTGTTGTTGTTCAGTCGCACAGTCGAGGCCAACTCTTTGCGACCCCATGGACCACATGGGCAAGATCAACAACTGCCCGTATATGTGTATTCTCTTTTGTGGCCTCCACTTATGGACTGGCCTGCCTGCTGAGATCAGGGAAGTTCCCACACTTCTTGCATTCTGCAAACTATGCAAGACCGCATTATTCAGGATGGTATTTTTACACAGGTAATAGGGCTATACTAGAATAGAATGGTTCAGAAACTTCAGACTATACTACTGGGTACAGTACATACTATCTCTTGCTATATGTATTATCCTGCTCTGTAATTTCTGCATTGTTAAACATGTCATGTTAATACTTATGCTTTGTTTCAGATTTCTGCAATCATAATCCTATTACACTACTCATTGGATTCCCCATCCTGTTGACTGTATTGACTTATAGTGGGTAATCCTCCTTCAATCTCAGGAAGAAAGGTGGACTATTGAATAAAGATGGCTCAGGTATGGGAGGACAAACTGGGTCAAATTACTGTTGCACACTCATAACTTTTGCAAATTCATTAATCTGCCTCATGAGTCTCCAACAGGTAGCCCACACATCTCCTCAAAGACCCAGGTAAAGATAACAAAAAAATCCACCTAGGCTTAAAAAAGGGGGAGGTTTTTTTGTCTTTAGGATTCTTCTGTGTGCTGCTGAGACAACAGCTTCATTTCTGGTATTTGTTCTCAAGTCCATGTACTGTTTCAAGAACAGAACAAAACTTGGTAACATATGGGGGGGGCAGGTGGCTTGGGATATTTTTCCGTACTCAGCAGTGGCTCGATTAAAGAAGAGGTTGGCAACC